CACGTCATGTTGACGGACAGGGCCGAGTGTAGTACTCTCGTGGGCTCGGCAAGCAGGATGCAGATGTCTTTCATGGCATTGCACCGCAACACAAGTCCTCCGAAGAACCGGGTGATTTCAAGCAAGGAATTTTCAATCCCAGACGGCAGAACCCGACGCCCCAGCACCACAAGCCACAACTTTGAAATGGAGTCAGCTTTCGTTTTGAGGTCCCACGGCCGAATCTGAGACTGGTATGTAGCATGTAGAGTTAGAGCGGGCAGTACAGAACCCCACTTTGCCTAACATCACGACGTCCTGCGCCACCGATCACGTCTGTCTTTCGGGCCCTTGTCCGGCGCAGACTTTAGGAGCCCAGATTTTTCCACTTGCCCTAGTACGAGCATCTTTCCATCCACCATCTGCGATCTAACTTAGATCAAAAGGTTGTAAAATAAATAAATATGTTATTACTACTATTATTAATGTTTTCTATTTTATTATTATTATTATATATATATATAGAAACAAAATATAATGCACTATGATATATCATAATATTATATAGCATTATAGGGCAACCCCGAGCCCAAGCCACGCTGGCGAGATGGCGAGCTCGACTCGGAGGCTCCGGTGCCTTGGGCCCGGCGCATCGTCCAGTCCTCTTGGTTTCGCGCCCCTTGCCTTTGCTTCCAGTGCCTTCGGGGACTCGGAATGACTCGGAGTTGAGGGGAGTCAGTGTGTGTTGTGTCGTGTCGTGTTGAGCAGCTTCTCTCTCTTGCACTTGGTCTTTGGATCTCAACGGCTCTGTTCATGGTTTTGCCCGCCTCGGTGCCAAGGATGTCTACTCTGGTTATAATGGCCTATAGAAGCGGCGCAGTCATGCAGACCCATGCCTAGGCAAGTGTTCCGGTCGTGATCCTGACGAACCTGATACTGCTCGGAGTGGAGGCGCACGGAAATGACGCTGGTCCTGGTGGGTAGAAAAAGCGATGGATAGCTTCAGCATGCGCCCGAAATAAGTCTATCCTGGATCTGGATCATGTTCGTGTTTTGGCCTTGCCAGTGTGAAATCTTGCGATCGGTCCTGAGGCCATCTCAGAACATGTTAAGAACACACGTGAGTCATCATCCTCTTGTTCTCTCCGCGCTCAAGATTCACGTGCTTCAGCCCTGTTGCTGAAGCGTTCAGAACTTGAATGGGGCATGTGCCCTGATCCCGAGTGTGAACACCGCAACATAGATTCGCAGCACATGACCGTGCCGGAACTTCGACCATGACCACCTCCCATGTCTCTGCTTCCGATATCGGTACGACTCAGAGCCTGGATGCTATTCCGGTTGCACGTCCAGGTGGATGCCTCAGCCGACCTTCCTCCAAATGAGCATCTGGAAGGTTTCTACACCGCGCAGCTTGCCTCCCAGAGATTTCTGCCACATCTAGAATTCAAGTCCATATGTGTGCTCAGATTCATGCATTGTTCAGCAAGGGCTGGTAAAGCATCCTGGGAAAAGATGGTCAAAAGATGCACAACACCTGCAGGAACTTGATCATCGTGTCCGTCTTTTTCGTCGAAATTCTTCTTAAGCTGAAGGCTTACGGCTGCGCCTTGGTTGCGGTGTTCTCAAGAGTGAGCCGACAGTGTCCTAACGTGAACGTCATTGCCTAGCTACGTTTTGACTTGCGGGTCTGCGAGTGTGGCCGTCTCCGGCGCTGCTGGGAGGGCATGAGCATATAATATAAAATATATAAAATATAATATATAAAATATAAATTTACAGCTTGTGACACCCGAGGGTAGACGACTCCATGCAGTCTTGAAGCGCGCAGCTAGTGTTCCAATGCAAGTTGAACGCTCCGGTCCAAGTTATTCCCAACAATCCTCGACAGCTTATACACATCGAAGTGGCCAAACCGTCTGCATCGTCGGTCCGAGGCCATGAGATGTTCTGTGGCCCCGACAAATGGTGGAATTGGTCGGATGCTTGATCTGAACATATCTGAACTATCACACGCCACACACCTGACTTCCAAAACAGGTTCTTTCCTTGCGCACTGAGTGATATGGCAAGAGGCTTTTGCATGCTAGCGTGCAGCTGCACAGCTGCCAGGATTTGTTGATTTTCTGCCTGTCCATCTTCGAGATTGTCGCAGAAGCTGTGGCATCCGTCATGCCCGGAGCTAAGCTGCATGGGAATGGTTCCAATACAGGTTGCGCTTTGATTTACTGCGGTACACAGTTTTCAGTGTAATTACATCTCACCAGTCCGACCGTATAGCAGAAAAGATATGGAAAGGATGCTAGACAGGACCACGAAAGACGTCAAGGGCCTGCTGGTTTCTTCGCTACTGCAAAGAGGACCTTTGAATTGGAGAGTGTGCCTCAATGGCCAGGGCTTTGGTGCCACTTAGACCTTGATGTATAGGCATGTGTCTAGGTGTAGCTGTCGTATACTTATGTACCTATATATATAACAGAATGATAGCTCATATAATATAAGTACTGTATCGTATTGTACTATAGTGTGGTATATTCGAGTACAGTAGAGTATAGTATTCAGCACGGTACAGTACAGTATAGCTTAGTATAGTACGGTATTACATTATGTGGTATCGTATTATTTTGTGCTATATTATATTGACTATTTGCGTTGCATTATATGATGCTATATTATATCATAGTATATTATGCCATAGTATGCCACATAATTTACTATGTTCTAGTATAGTACAGTACAGTATTTGTTTTGTTATGTGTGTTTATATACTTTACCGTATATATGTATATATATATACACATACACATATTCTTCTGCGTATACATACTTATATGTTAGCGCATATTAGCGCATGCATGCATGCATCCATGCATGCATGCACACGGATCGATGGATGGATGGGTGCACATACATTCGTGCTTATGTAGGTATGTAGCTATGATGTCTAGTTCCTCAGTGTATGTATGTATGCATGCATGCATTCTCCCTTGCATGGTTTCTTATGCTTTGCCAATATATGTTCGCCTGTCTGACTGTTTGTCTGTTTATGTCTACACATGCACATACACATATTCCAATGCGGACGAGATCTGCATGCTGTCAAGCCCACGCCAACGCAGCCTGAGGTTCGCTTCGGAGATGGATCCCAGCCAACTCCGCATGATGCGTGTCCCGGCCTGGCTTGGAGGGGGATTTAAGGCCTGAAAGTACGTAGGTGTCAGCTTACAACAGTCCGCAGAGACTTTTCGACTGGCCCTTCATGCTGCAACTGAAGATGAACCACGACCATGATCCATGAGAGACTCAAACCCCGAACCACACCGCACCAGAGGGTGTGTGTATCTTTATATATGTACTGTCAGAGACGTATATACAAATATGCAGACATGCATGTTTTGCATGTGCGCATATATATATATACACACATAAATATATAAATATAAATATAAATATATATTTAAGTATTTTCTTAGTAAATTTTATATATCTATATTTATGTTTTTGTTTATATATATATGTATTTATTTGCTTATGCATGCACGCAGACACACACACACACACAGCGACACACGCGCACACACACACAGACAGACAGACAGACACACACACACACAGCCACACACACACACACACACGCACCCACGCACGCACGCACGCACGCACGCACGCACGCACGCACGCACGCATGCACGCACGCACAGAGACAGGGACACAGACACAGACACAGGCATGCCTGCATGATAGCGCATGCTGCTGTGTCCCATTTCTGCCGTCTAGAGCCTTAAAACTTCCCATGTAGAATTGTTTAGCCAGTTTCAGTTTCGTCGGCTGCAGCATGTGCATAAGACACGATCCAGACGGCACCGGCTTCCTGCAGTTACTTTGGAACTATCTGAAGGATGGTGCAGGGCTTCCAGAGTCTTTCCAAAAAGTTCTTTACAAACTCGGAGCACATAAATCAAGAGTAGTTGTATCAGCGAGCAGCAAGTAGCTAGGGGGTTGTGTTTTGCCATCATGCTTCCAGCCTCAGAATCGACAGCCTCCGGACCGAAGGCCTTTGCGTTCAAACTTCGTCGACAATCTGCGGGGCTTTCAATCCCAGAACAAGCTGAAGAAGGCCGGCGGAAGTTTCACATGTTCAATTGATTTGGGTGGATACTATACTCTGCAGAGGTGTGCAACCGATCGCTGTTGGTGAAGGTGGTGTCATCTTTCGGTAGTAGTTGTTGGAGGGGGTGCTGGTGCTGAGGGGTGGTGCTTTTGCCTCGATTACCAGACCAGCTGTCTAAGGCGAAGTACGAAGCAGGAAAGGCAATCGTAACGGGAGTAGGAGAGTAGCAGCAAGAGCATGATCAGGAGCAGGAGGAGCAGGGGGAGCAGGGGGAGCAGGGGCAGGGGGAGAGGAGAAGCAGGAGGAGCAGGAGAAGGAGAAAAAGGATTCGCACGAGGCCGAGAAGGATGAGACGGAGAAACACGACGAGGTCTTTGTTGAGTTTGTTGCGGAAGGAAGAACAGGAGAGGTAGTGTCGGTGATGAGGATAGTCGTCGTCGTGGTTGTGGTGGTGGCGGTGGTGGCGATGGTGGCGATGGTGGTGGTGGTGGTGGTGGTGGTGGCGGTGGTGGTTGTGGTGGTGGTGGTGGTGGTGGTGGTGGTGGTGGCAGTGGTGGTGGTTGTTATTCTTCTGCTTCTTCTTCCTCTTATTTTTCTTGCTCTTGTTTTGTTTGGTCTTTTTGGTAGTCTTCCTGTTCTTGTAGTGCTGTGCAAAGTTCTGTTCGGCGGTTGCGTAGGTGGTGAAGGGGTCGGGAAGCGGTGGGGATGGTGATCGTCAGAGCGAGATAGTATGGCATGGTGACAGATGGAGGGCCGACGAGGGCGAAAACACCGAAGATGGCTAATTCCAGCTCGCTTTACATATGCTTTTTGTTCATGTCGATGTTGTGGGCGGAGAAGAAGATGTGGCACGGGTGGAGGGCTTGACAGCTGCGTCCAGAGTTGTCCGTAGCCGTGTTTGAGATGACAGGCAGCTTTGCACATCATTGCTGGGCAGCTCAACGAGGAGCCGCTGAAACATACCCCTACACAGAGACACTTTGCAGGGCAGGAGTTTGCCTCTTCTTGATGTTTGCGTCAAGGTCGCGCAGTGTGTACAAACCAATGCCTAGCACCTAGCACAAGCAGCCGTTGGTGGACAGGATCAGATTAAGAGCCTTCGAGATGTTTTCACAAGCTTGGACAAGAACGGTGATGGGCTTTTGACGTGGCTCGGCGACCTGTGCTTCCTAAGGCCCTTAGGGTTGGCGCAGAAGGCCTTGATTTCTCTTGCTTATTGACCAAGGCATGCAGAATTGAAGGATGGCTTGGGAAAATCCGGCCTCAAAGACATACCTCCGGACCTTGCAGCTATTCTCGATGGTCAGCTCAGCTGCAATGTTTCTTGCAGATCCTTTTCCCGGTGCACGTGACGGCCTGTCTAGCAGTCTAGCAACCGCCGGTGCAAGGTGTTGATGCTGATGGAAGCGGTGTCATTGACTACACGGAGTTCCTAGCAGCGACGCTGGATAGGCAGTCGCGATGTGCAAGTGCATGTATTATAATCCTGCTCTCTTTGAAGTGTCTTTAAATGTTGGGCCAGTTCCATACCCTCCACAGTCGCCAGGCAGCAATACATGAAGGAGGACGTTTGCTGGGCAGCTTTCCGAGTGTTCGACAGAAATGGAGATGGGCATATCTCCAAAGATGAGCTCAAGCAGGCATTGGATCACACACCTCGTAGCGTTGCTGCGCCGAAGTTGGACTCCGGCCACTAGCTGATTTTCTGTTTCTGATCAGCTGCCAGAGTTTGCTACAGCCATCCAGGGCCATCTCGGAGATCTGACTGTAAGTGTGTAACGCATGGCTCGACAGTGCTCACACGCAGCCTCGTCATTTGCTGCGTCAGCATTCCTCGCAAGCCTTGCAGGTGCTCAGCAACAGCGAAGTAGAGGATGCATTGGGCGCCAAAGCCATTGCTGAATTGATGTTGGAGGTTGACAGCTGCTTGGCAGCAGCTTTAAACAAGCTCCGCAACCGAATTCATAGGCACGCAGTGCCGCAGTTCGGGCTGTGGACAAGGGAGTTGTTTGTGCGCAGCTAATGCATTCAGAGGCAATGGTGATGGCATCATAGACTTTGAGGAGTTTATGGCCATGATGAAAGGTTCAGGAGGAGTGGCACACATATTTTCGCCAGGGATGACTTCGTTCGTCTTGGTGTTGCTGCCGTTCTCGTACCCCATCTCGCTAGTCTTGTTTGGCAGGACCACCCACAAGCCCGTGAGAGGGCTGGCCGTCCAAGGAGACGGTGCTCCAACTCTTTCACTTTGCGTTGAACCATCGACGAAGGTCGGCACTTTTTTCGTCCATTGATATGGCAGCCATAGAACTGGCACGAATTCAGGCCAGATAGAAGCCTTGTGCAAGCACTGGCACGACAGTCCTGATGTTCAAAATTCAGCATAACCTCACGTGCCAGTCATCTTGCACATGGGTTCTTTGCAACCTAAGAGGCCTGAGATATGGTTCGCTGCCTCACATCACCCCCCTGAGTGACGAGCAGTGACGAGCACAGGTCAAGTTGCAGCAGCATGTAGCAACTACCTTATGTAATGAGGCGCTGCGACCCTTGCCTCTTATTGAAAGAGAAGGTTGCAACCGGCTGCCAAGACCATCCTCCGGGGCACCCGGATCCTTGCACATAAGCAATATCTATGGACAGGAACGCTCTCACCTGGCATGTCCACCATAAAGCGTTCCTCCGTCCTGAGATTCAGGACACTACCAGCTTGGCCACGGTGCTTGTAGTCATATCTAGTATGCATCTGCAAAGCATTAGCCCAGGCCCAGGCTTGATCTGAAACAGGGCGTCCGCCGTCCGCCATGTCTTCTTGGCTCATCTTGCTTTGCCGTTTCAGCAACCAGGACATCAAGACCTTGGTCAGCTCTCTGGCGTACACCCGAAGCGGTGTGTGCAATGTTCGTCTATCTGTCAGTCCAGGCCTGCAGCATATTTCTACGGGATTCCGTGGAGGCCGCCGGCCATTCCACCAAACTCAGTCGGAAGCGTGCTGTGACGAAAGAACTATGACCAACACGAAGCACTCGAGGAATTTAGTAGTGTTCTCGTCACATCACTCCGAGCTTCCAAAGCCAAGTCTCATCTGTGAGCCAATTCGGGAACGCCTTGCAGGAACTGAACAAACAGGGAGCGAGAGAGATCCGTTCCAGCAAGCGCGTGAGCATCCTTTAAGTCTGCCGCTGAAAAGCTCCGTTTCCGAGGCTGCCGTGTCCTTTTTGCTGAAGCAGCGCGAAGCCATCCTGGGCCAGGCTGGGCTGGTCGCGGTCGCTCTGTCTAGGCATCTGCCAGCTCAGAGAGTGCTTCCAATTGACAGGAACGCCTACCCCAAGAACAAAGGACGCAGGATTCCGCATTTGTCTGCATCTTGTGGAAATTGTGCAGCAAGGCGTGCACCCATGACAGGGTGCCACATCCCCGGCTTCCTTGTTGCGTGCGATGGACACCTTGCTTGCGCCTGAGTACAGCTGATTCTGGTGTCCACCGTATTCCACCGTCCTCAGATTTCGTCATCCCATGCATCGACGAGAAAAGTAAGATTTAGTAAGATCGTTTTCCTTCGCCTACCTGCTGGGTGAGGTTGTTGAAATTACTGCTGGAAGCAGACGAGGACTGCGGCCTGCCATCTGTCACACCGCTCATGCCTCATGCTTTTCCAATCTCCAATTCGTGCAGGATGACGTTCGACTGACTGAAGTTCTGGAGGGTGGTGTTAGATGCAGGGTCGAGGATTGCGAAGGCTGGATGCTTGCCAGGCGTCTCCTCGCAGTTGCTTTCCGAGTGGCACTGATGCTGCTGCCCAAAAGACAACCCGTCAAAACACAAAAGAGATGTGCTGCTTTGTTGGAAAACCCCGCCCCTGTCCCCTCAAACCCTTGACGTCCAAACTAAATGCTGCCGTTCAATGCTACACTTCCTGCCTGTTTCAAAAGTAGGCCCAGTGTTTCAGCGGATTCTCGCTGATGGCATTTACCAAAACCCAGGCTAGCCCTTGCGACTGCTTGAGCACTACACAACACCTGCGCAAAGTCGAGTCGAAAGAAGACTGGATTGGAGAACCATGCGGGTTCTAGCCAGCAGATTCACGCATGACGAAACACCCAGTGCAATTGTGTTCGTTCGCCTAGCTACGGTTAGGTAGGTCTGGGCTAGGAGGATCACATCACTGCAGGCGATCGGCAGCTCTCTTTTGATCTTTGAGATATGTGGTCCCTTCGTGGCCATTTTGGGTCAAGGTGTTCACCTTGACGATCCGCGAAGGATTGCTCATTTTTCGGTGATCAGGTACTCAGCTCCAAGGCCTGGGAAGATCGACGCCATGGCTGGTTGGGGTGTTCCGGTTCAATCCTGGGATCACTACCAAGGCCCGGGCCAAGGTCAGGGCCAGGGCGGAGGATGGGGCGGCCAAGATCGCCGTGAGGATCGGCGCGGTCGCAGCTGAGGGGGAGGTGGGTCGTTCCCTGCGGCTCACAACCCTTATGAGGTCAAGCTCCCCCACTTCATCGAGTCGATCGCCGAATGTGAAGACAATGGGCGAAAGACTTCCATCATCATGGTGGACAAGCGGGATGATCGGATCGTGTCGCCTTTTCAGGCCTGGCTAGTTCGTGAGATCATGACGAACTCCTCGAGCTCTATCAACGTGCTCACGGAGAGAGATCAGGTGATGCCACCTCAGTCAGGTTATCACCTGTCTCTCTTCGCGAACTACACGCTCGATGGCTTCAAGGCGACGGTCGCGATCTCGATCGGCTCGCAGACCGGAGCTCCTTGTGGTGGATGGGATCCCGCCACCGCAAATGCTCTCAGCCACGTGGCTTTTCAGCCTTTTTCGTGGCCGGTGCTCAACGACACATCTCCTTCCTACACGGATGTGAAGATCTACAACGGGAATGAGATCCTGTCCCACTGGATCTTCAGAGGCTTTCGCGCTGACACCGATCTTTCCGTTCAGCAGCAGTTCACCGATGAGTTCTTCATCAAGGGTGTCTGCCGCGGTCGTGTTCGATTGTCTGTGGTCGTGGCAGCTTTTTCAGGCTGGCGGGTCTCCGTGTTCTCCTTCGAATGCGGAGGTCGGACCTATTCGGTCGGTCCCAATGGCACGGTGATCGCCGGCGACAGTGCAAGGTCGCGCTTCGAGCTCCGAGTCACGGACCGCTCGTCTGAGGATGCCGTGGGGAATGATGCAGATCGGGTGGAGTTCCGCTACCGTGACTCCAACAACCGCATCGATCTGAAGTGCGCTCGCACCTCGGTGCCGGCAACTTGGCGCTCGGCGAGCCAACCTCGTTCCGACCCCACAGGACTCCGTGATCGGCACGAGAAGGCTGTCGCTCAGTTTTGCTTTTGAGCGCTCGCTTTAAAGGAGCCCGCTCACAGGGGCGATTTAATTTTGCAAGCTCCCGCATTTTGGCTGTTCTCTGACCCTTTCGCAGACAGCCCGCTCGGGAAGAGCTCAAAAAGAACCGGCCGCGTGATCACGCGAAGTGGTTTGCAGCAGCCGTTCTTAGTCGGGGCTTGCAGTTCTTTGTTGCAGTGCTCGTGGCAGTTTCAGTTCATGTGCAAGTGCAGTTCTGCAGCCACATGTTCATGCATGAGGGTTCTGCACAGGTACATGTTTTTGCATTTCATGTCTCCTGCTCTCTCTCCTCTCCTCCTCCTCTCTGCTCCTGCTCTCCACTCCGGGAAGGGGGGGGAGGGTCGTTGGTCGGGGGGGGGGAGGGGGGGGTCTTGATGCTCATCTTGCAATTTTGTTTTCGAGAGTTTGGGTGGCAGCTCTGTGCTGGACACGGTCCCGCCAGCTCGCGGCCTAAGCTCCAGACAGACATGCTGCAAGAGGCGGCACCAGCCAATCGATGGACCGCCAAGATCTTGGCTTACCCGTGTTTCGATCGGCCCTTTGTCGAGGCCCTTCTCAGGACACGACTCTCGAACTTGCAGCTGGTTCTGGCGATGGAGGTCGATTCGCCGGGCACGTTCGCGGCCAAAGCTTTCGAATGAACAGCCAAGCTCGCACCAGCAGAGCACGAGGTGTTCTCCTCTCGGCTACACATGCTAGACCAGTTCTGGGTGTTTGCCAAGGCGGCTGAGACGGTCTTTTCGGAGTCGCTCGGCTACCAGATGGGCTTCGGTCGGTGCGAGAAAATTCCTCGACAGCGGGACGCGAAGTCGATCGCTCAATTCCAGCGGGACTTGGCGATCCGTGCCCTGGCTGCACCTGTTCTGGCACCTAAGACCAAATCTGCACCCTCGGCAGGATCCGCCTCCAGCTCTACTACACCACTCGTAGATCTGGAGAATGCCGAGAAGCAGAAGTGGGCAAAGAGGCTCAAGGCTATCGCCGAACGTGCAGGAGCTCATGCAAAGCCTCTTTCTACCGTGGACAACGAGATCCTTTCGGCCGAAGAGAGAGCTCGTCTCCAGCTCCTGGTGTTCACCTCTGGAGCTCCCTCGACTATGGCGAATCATATCAGGCGGATCGAAAAGTTTGAAGCATGGGCTCGCCGCTCTTCGCACCCTCTGTACCCGATCACGAACGATCTGATCTTGAAGTATGCCGTGGAGCTTGATGGTCTGCGGGCCGACGGTGATCCCGTCTTTGCGGATGGCTCTCACATGGGTGTCCTTTCGGACGAATATCCAGGTGCCGTCTATCGACACAGCTCCCCTCAAGGCGCTCGAGAAGGAGGTTTTCACACAACGAGGCAAACCTCTCAAAGAAGCAGACCCAATTCCCATCGAGCTCGCGATGGCAATGGAGAAGTATGTCGCCGAAGATCAGATGCCGAACCCAACTCGAATTTTCATGTGGTGGACGTTGTGCATGATCTTCGCCTCCCAGAGGTTCGACGACCATGTCAAGCCGCACGAGCTCGAGGTGAAGCCGGAGGGTCTGTTCGGCGTCTCTTGGCAAACCAAGAGCGAGCGCAAAAGACGTGGGACTAAGTTCGTTGTCCCTGATGTTTCGTTCTCGAAACACTCTTGGTTCAAGACCGGCCTCAACCTCTTCGAGCTGGAGTTCCCTCTCGTGGAGCGCGACTTTTGGATACCAGATCTGGAGGGAAAAAAAAGTGGTGCACAACCCCGCCAGACATGTGCGATCGCTGCAATGGTTGCACCATTTGGTCTGGCACGCGGGCAAGGAAGCTGGTGCCAGTCAGGAAGCTCTGCAGAAAGTTACAGCTTTTACGTGGCACTCGGCCCGGGTCACCATGCTTGATCAGGCCGTCCACTGCAAGCGCACCGAGCAGGAGATCGGGGTGCAAGCGAATTGGAAAAACCCAGGTCCGCTCGTGCTCAAGTACACCCGGTCACGCTCCTCATTGCCAGCTCTCATGATCAAAGATCTGGTCTCCGAGGTCTCTAAGGAGTACGAGCCCGAATGTGCTCGCGAAGACGACGCCATCGACGATCACGAAGATCGCGGCGACTGTCTGACGGAGTTCTTCATTAAAGTAGCTCCCGAGAAGGGAACCAGCTATGAATATAAGTTTCACGTCTGTTCTGCCGAATCGATTGAGGAGATCGCTTGCAAGCGAGAGATCACCTCTGAGTTCGTGCATATAGGGTCGGTTCTTCCTGACCCTAAGATGCTGTGTAAGCTCTGTGCACGTGCTCGACCGGACGTACTGCTCGCACTTAAGCTCTGAAGACTCTGCCATGCTTAGTGTATGTCTGTCTTGTTCAGGTGTCTTTGCGAGCGCTCGCTTGTCGGCTCACATAGGATCGTCGTCATGGTTGATCGCACCGTCTACCCTGATAAGGACAAGGTCCCGGAGCTCGCCCTGCGGCAGATCTTCGGTCGACAGAAGCTGCTTGAGGATCTCTGCTTTTTGCTCGCCGACAAAGGAATGCTCTCGGTCGAGCGGGTGGCTATGCTCGGCGACACCATCACCTCGGTCAAAGCCACAATCAAGGCCATCGTTGGGGACGACGCCAAGTTCGGGCCAGACGAACCCGCCAGGGAGCTCTCCCTGACGTTGCTCGCGGCGGTCTGGAAGTCAACGTCCACGTTGCAAGAACACGTGGCCACTCGGCGGGCGAAGATGGAGGAGGATCCCTCGAAGATCCCGGAGATCCCCGGAGAAGATCACGCAGAGTTTCGGGAGATCTTCGTGAACCAGCACCCGGACGTGATTCTTACTTACATGCGCGAGCCGCAGCGAAAGTTCGTTGAGCGCATCCATCGTGACTACATGGTCCACGGGGCGGTCGCCTTCTACGAGGTCGCCGAGATGCGCTCCCGATCTGATCAGATCGTCTCAACGTCCGGGTTCTCTAAGACCTCAGATGATCTGCTGAGGGTCGTCCAGCATGACAACAAGATCTCGGTCACGTCGGAAGGCAGTGTGATGGATCGACTTCATGCATTCTTTGTGGAGCTCGAGTACCTCAACATTTGCGAGTTCACCATGGAGGCAGGGCCGCTCAAGTACCTTTCTGAGCTCGAGGAATGGCGCCATGAGAACCGTGGTCTTTCGCTGCTCCTCTCGGCGGACTCCTTGCTCAGGAAGAAGGTCTATAAGCTCTCCAACGACAAGCGGAAAGACCTCCCTACCTTTTCGTCGGCTCTAAAAGAAGTTCTAAAGAACCACAAGCAGCTCTGGAAGGACGCCCGATCGACGGCGGAGCTCGACAAGTTCAAGCAGGTAGAGCACGATCCGACTTCTACAAAGAGAGCCAGGTCTACCTCGCCGCCTCCGCCTCCCACGCCGACTTCGGAAGCTCGCACGAAAAAGAACCGTGCTCGCCGTGAGATTTCTGAAACAAGCTCGCGAGCTCGCCAAGGACAAGGACAAGGACAAGTCGGGGAAGCCGTCAGGAGGGGCAAAGCTCACAGCCCGAGCCGATCGCGACCCTCGCATCTCCGAGAAAGAATGGAAGAAGATCATGTCTTTCACTTACACGGGAGCTCGGCGGTGCCCTTGGTTCAACTGTTCGCTTGGCTGCCGCTTTGGTGATCAGTGTCGCAACAAGCATATCTGCGTCCAGTGTGGGGGCGATCACCCCTACCATGGCAACCACTGAGCTCCCGTTGCTTCGCCTGGGTTCTGTGGTCTGGGAACCCTATAGGCGACAAGCTCGACAGACCGCCGGGGGATTTCTCCCTCGAACAGCCAAAATCGTCTCAGGCTGCTTTGTCCGCGACGACATGTGAAGCTCGTTTTCAGAAGCTGATTTCGGCTGATCTTGGCTCGGCCCCGCCTTGGTCTGCTTGGTCGCAGGTGCCTACGGATCCCTATTTGGTGCGATATCTCGGCCATAGGTGCCTCGAGCTCTTCGCAGGCAGCGGCGTGTTCACCGCTCACCTGCGCCAGCGAGGTCTCCGCGTTCTGCCGCCGATCGACATCTTGCGGTCCCCGGAGGTTGCTGAGCAGCAAGATCTTCTGGACGGCGACTTCTTCGAGCAACTTCTGCTCTTGGCGTGCATGGGAGCGATCGGCTTTCTGCACGTGGGCCTACCGTGCTCTACGTCTAGTCAGGCTCGACAACGTCCCGGTGGCCCACGACCTGCGCTCCCGTTCGAGGCCTCTCGGTCTCGAGCACAGATCTGCTGCGGAAGAGGAGCAGCTCAATGAGCTCTTGAGTCGCTCTCTGCTGCTCATGCAGTCTGTGATCACTGCGGGGGGCGACTTCTCCCTCGAGAACCCTCTCAGCAGTCTCGTCTGGCAGGTCCCGTCGGTTCAGCAGCTTAAAGTTCGGCACCACCTCTACAACGTGGATCTTGATCAGTGTGAGTTCGGTGGCGCTTCTAAGAAATCCACACGTCTTTTGGTCAGCAATGCGCTTTTTCTTCAGCTCGCACGCGCATGTTCAGGTGATCGTTTGCACGTTCCGCTCAAGGGCAAGGTCCGCGGCCCTGACGGCCGCTTGATCTTTGCGACAAAGCCGGCGCAGATCTATCCTGTCGGCCTTGTGGTGGCGTGGTCCGCTGTGGTGGAGCAGATCCTCCAAGGAATTTTGCCGCAGTTCGCCAAGTCTTTCGACCTAGTGACGGAAGCTCGGCGAGTCTGTTCCTTGGCAAGGTCATCGACAAGAGCAAGCTGCTCGCCTTGCAGCAGCTCAAGCGAGGCGCCGCGAAGCCGCTGCTCGAGATCGAGTCTGAACCAGGGGTAGCCATTCGCTGGGCTCTTCGGAGATCAGAGATCTCCGAAAAAATATCAACACGATCTCGTCTGGGCCCTTGGCTCTGGTGGATGGGCGCCTGCGTGATCTGCAGTGTTGGAAGGATCGGGCCGAAGCTCTTCTACCTGCCACTGATCGGGAGCTTCGGGCGATTCCCGATGCTGCTCTGCGCCGTCTCCTTCGAGGCGGGCCAGACTATGCCGATCTGAAGTTGGGCTCCTTCACTCACGTCAAGCTCTACGACGAGTTGCTCGAGGCCTCAGCGTACCGATCCCTCGCGCACGCTCTGCGCCCTGGTTTCCCGATCGTCGGGCCCATCCAACGATCGGGGCGCTGGCCTGCGTACCCCAAGCCTCAGGATCCTGTTCAGGTCTCCGAGGCGGAATCTCGGGCCTGGGAATTTCGCAAGAAGATCTTTCGCAGATGCAGTGCAGTACTCAGTGCAGTTCCGGTTTCTGACAATCTGTGCTCGCTTTGGAAATCTACGATGGAGGATGTCGCGGAGGGCTCGACTGTTGGTCCTTTTTCAGAACGAAGACGAAGTGACTCAGTTCTTGGGTTGCGATGATTGGATCCTTACGCAGAGGTTGGAGGTCGTTCAGAAGAACAAGGTCCGGGGTTGTGACAGTGCCACCTCGAACTTGATCAATAAGACGGCGGTGATCACCGAAAAGCTGCAGCTCCCCTCTACGGATCTTAACGTTGCCGTTCTTCGTGAACTAAGGACGGGGGCTGGCGATCGTCGTCTTCAAGCTTGGGTTCTCGACGAGAGGAAGCCAGGCCTATCGGCAGCTGCCGATCTTGCCGCAACATCGCAAGTTCAGCGTGATCTGCCTGAAGAAACCTGAGGACGATCGTCCCAAGTACTTCGTGATGATCGGCCACTCCTTCGGGTTGGTCTCGGCGGTGTACAACTACAACCGCCGCTCGGCTGCTCTGAACGACGTCTGCGCCCGCCTGTTCAAGATGGTGTCGTTCAACTTCAACTTCTACGACGACAAGTACGGGTTCGAGACAGAGCTTATCGCTCCGTCGGCGAAGCTCGTCGCCGAAACGATCCATTGGCTTCTGGGCGCGTCGTTCTACCAGAAGAAGCTCCAGCTCTCGTTCCTCCCGGTGGTCCTGGGGGTAACTTTCAACCTGGAGGACTTTCTCCTCGAGATCAAAGAGGAAAGGAAGGCCGAGCTAGTCGAGTCGATCGATGCGATTCTGGATTCAGGTACCTTGGATCCGGGTACGGCAGGTAAGCTCAAGGGCAAGCTCATGTTCGGCGCGAGCCAGCTCTGGGGCAAAGTGGGTCGGGTTTTCTTCCGGCCTCTCTCGGAACGACAGTACTCCAAGGATCTCAGTGGCGATCGCATGGACCTCAACGAAGCCCTGAAGCGCTCGCTGATCTACTGGCGGTGCCTCATCGAGTTCGGCCCACCTCGGGAGATCCCTTTGCGTACCTCGAAGAGGTCGGACATCTTGATCTTCACGGATGGCTTCACTCCTGATCAGAGGAAAGCTGAGAGCGGACCCGATCGGGTCGGAGCAGTGATGTTCGACAGGCGGGGGCTCTCGCCGAAGCAGTTCACGGAGGTGATCCCCCCTTCGATTTCTGAGAAGTGGATCCCACGGAAGACCCAGATCGTCCCTATCGAGATGATCGCTCCGATCTTAGCTCTCGAAATGTTCCGAGACCATGTCCGTAAGAAGGACGTCTGTCTCTTGAGATTCGGAGGCTGTAAAGGCATCCTTGGTCAAAGGATACTCCTCCAAAGAAGATCTCTGTGGGCTCGTTGAACTTTTCTGGGAGCTTTCGCTCGAATACCGAGCCAATTTCTTCATTGATCGTGTTTCAACTGATGCCAACCCTGCCGACTGGCCGTCGAGAGATCATCTCCAGATCGGCGAGTCGGCGGGGTGGGAGACGGTACTATGTTCGTGGCATGCGGGTCTCGCATGAAAAAGGGATCGTGGGCCTGGGGAGAAGCTCGGGTCTTGACGGTCGGGAAGACTCGTTCGAGACTTCGGCGGTCGGTCCCGCGAAGGTTGTGCTGACTGCTCGAGGTGGTCGGTGGCTGGGTGTGAGCGGTTCAGGGTTGTTACAGTTCGTTTCGTGATGCTCGATGTGCCGCTCGACCCCATGCCAGAGTGGTCTAGAAAAAGTTCTGCGCCACTCTGCTCTTCTGTGGCTGCCGTTCAGTTAGTTCTATCGAACGTGCGTGCGGGTGGTGTGGTTCGCCTAGCTACGGTTAGGTAGGTCTGGGCTACGAGGATCACATCACTGCAAGCGATCGACAGCTCGCTTTTGATCTTGGAGATATGTGGTCCCTTCGTGGCCATTTTGGGTCAAGGTGTTCACCTTGACGATCCGCGAAGGATTGCTCATTTTTCCCCACCCAACCCACCCTGTTTTGAACGGGGGAGAAGCTCGGGTCTTGAAGGTCGGGAAGACTCGTTCGAGACTTCGGCGGTCGGTCCCGCGAAGGTTGTACTGACTGCTCGTTCGAGCTTTTCTGCTACGGACTACTTCTCTCGAGGTGGTCGCTGGCTGGTGTGGTTCGGGGTTGTTACAGTTCGTTTCGTGATGCTCGATGTGCCGCTCGACCCCATGCCAAAGTGGTCTAGAAAAAATTTCTGCGCCACTCTGCTCTTCTGTGGCTGCCGTTCAGTGAGTTCTATCGAACGTGCGTGCGGGTGGTGTGTGCTTTGTGTTTTCATTAATTTTTTTATCGGAGAATCTTGGCTGCCGGCCACTTGCACATGCAGCGAGAGCATTCCCGAAATCCAATGGCAGCTCATGCGCGGCGAGAGTCCGAAAGCCACTCGCATCACATGTGTCCCTTTCTTTGGCCACAGTATTGGAAGAAGTGGAGGTCCCGCAATTCTCGAATTCGCTGGAATATTCGCCTTTTCTGCACGCGCGCATTGTCGTCGTATGATTGACTATCATCGCTGTCGTTATTGCAAACGATTCGCGTGGCCGGAAATGCCCAAACCAGAATCTTTGTTGTTGTGGCTTGGATGCCAAACAATGGGAGGGGGGGGGGAATGGGGGGGCTGGTGGGGAGGGGATTGCGAGGGGGGAAAGGTTCGCCGACATGAAAGAGGAACCTCGGATCGCTTCGGCCACGGCCTAGGCGAATTATCCTGTTGCCACTTTCATCGAGATTCTCCACTATCGTTGGTGTCTTGTCTCTGTCATTTGATCATCATGGTTCGTATTGTTCTCCTCATCCAAGAACATCATGACCACTACCTTCGAACGCAGAAAGATGCGGCACAGACGTGGGCTGTGTTGATGTTTTTGTTTCGAGCGGGGCAAGCCAAGCATATGCCGCGGCCCCACAAGCGCCGATGTTCCCCTTGACCAAAGCGATGGCCAAGTCAAGTCAGAAAGGATTACAAGTCAGTTTCCCTGATACCAAAGCACATATTTGGCTCCCGTCGCCCAGCGCAGCTTCGTCAATGTATGCAGTCATGGAGTCATGGAGTCATTAACCGGCACCAATTTTTTGTACTTCCTTTTGCGGGCAGGTTTTCTGAGAGAACGTGGCAGAGTGGCAGCTCGATCAAGTCAAGCAGGGTTCTGTCAATGTGTGTCTGACCGTCAAAGCATTCAGACACGCATGTCTTTGGTCGGGATATGTCGGGATGCTTTGCAAACCGAGGATGTACTGGCTCGCTTGTGGAAGGCCACGCACTTCTTGAAAGCAGCGAGCCGTTTGTATGTATCTTGAATACAGTCGAATTTGTTTTGCAGGCCCATTCCATGTACGACCTTGTTTTGCGCGAAACAAGCGCAATGTTGGCCAGTGGAAGGTCTGCTGTGTAGCAACCGGGCAGCGCTTCCCGTTGCTGTCTCCAGTGTGAAGGAGGGATGCTCGTGCAGATGCCGCTCTTACTCAGATGGTGGAGGCACTGAGGCGCTTCTCATGCTTAGTTACTACTTGACGATGTGGAGTCGGTGGGCTGACCGCATCACCCACTCTCGGCTTTTTTGAAGGAGCGCACGACGAGCTCCCAACGGGGCAGACTTGCTTCGCGAGTGCCCCTGAGTCCTGTGCGTTTCGCATGCGAGTCATGCAAGTACTGTAGCTCCCGCAGGAATGCGGTGAAGCTTTGGCATTGGCAGGTACGTACCACAGCTGCTGTCCATTGATGCTGAAGCCGTTCTTCCAGCTGGAGCCTTACAACTGCTTAGGCTTAGACTCCTTTGTGACTGCTGCAGGTTTTCGTGACAACAAGCAGAGAGCGAGAGGCATCGCAGAGCAGTGCATCCGATCTGTCTTCTATGGAGTTTGAGCACTTCCGCCCATCTCGTCTCCAGCCTGCCGAACAGATGCCGCTAGAAGCAGATGAAGTCCTTCATCTCCTTCAAGGCTTTCTTCATTGATTCATGCTTCCTGAGAGACTTGGCTTTCGGAACTTTCGGGCAGAGCAATCAGGACATGACTCGCTCGTGCTGTCCTTCCTTGAGGATCTTGTCGTGAACAAACAGGCTCCACGCTGTGTGCTCCAACGAGAGCTCAGATGACTCAGATGGTACACCTGGTCTAGACTCTAGAATCGCTAGAATCTAGATTTGATTCTCAGGTGGCGAATGCTCTTCTCTAGTTCTGGTGGCCCTGTCCGATTGGTCTCTTTTTCACACCCAGCGAAAATGGACATCCGGCGAGCATGCGAAGCGGCAAGATTTTTGGGAACGTCGAAACATTTACAACAGCGAGGACCACCTTGTACTAGTTGTGCTTGTCGTCCTCTTCACATTTGCCTCGGGTGATGATTTGCTTGGGAGAAGACAACATGTTAGGTCATTGGCATTGGCGTTTGGAATCTTTCATGTCACCTGAGAAGCAACACTTTCGCCGAACACGGCACCTTTCGCAACCTTGTGCTTTTGCCTTCTCTGTAGCTTGTTTTGAGCATGTGTCGTGCTTGTCGCATACACCTTCGCTTCGATCTTGTCGAACATGTTTCCTTTGTCGCTTCTTGAGGCTGTACTATTCGACTTTCCAATTTTCTAGTCTTGCTGTATCTTGCTGTTGGACAGCGTCCTCAGAGTTTCCACAACTGCCTGTATCCTAGACCAATAGTTGATTAGCCCAAACCTGTGCGTGGTAAGGCTGCTGTCTCAGACAGTCCCAGCCCGTAGGCTGAACTCGTGAACACAGCAACTGAATTCCCGACCCTCCGCACTGCTCCTTTGCCATTGTGGTTTGGCCGATGTCCTGGTCCGCGTGAAGGGCTACGCGTTCAAGGTAGCCTTCCCGTGTTGGTAAGGAAATTTCCTTAACATGGGCAGGGATGCGCACGGATTGATCTCAAGGCGCGGGGTTATTCTACGATCCCACCTGAGAGTTGGATGAGTGAGATTGCCCAGGCAGCATCGCTAGAAGCTTGCAAAGTTCAACTGTTTCACAGCTTCTCTACCTTTAGTTCGACTTCCTCCGGTTGAAAACGTCCGGCGTCCGGGTCACCTCCCAGCACCCTCAAAGTGACTATCATTCGCAGCTTGCCTTGCGCAGCTCGCTGCTTCAGCAACCCTCTCAAAGACAACAAAGACAGAATCTCCTTGCACAAGCTGCTCTGAAGCCACGCACATGACACACCAAGTCCGTTTTAGAAGCCAGCGGTGCGAGAACTTGCCGGGCTGACATCTGTCAATCGTGTATTGATGAGTCGATTCCGAGTGCAGGCGAACTAGGATAAGCTCTCTCTTCGCCTGACACTCTCCGAGCGTCGGGTTCTGCCGTTGTGGCCACTCCTTTTCTCGACATATGCGTGCTGCAGTGGAAAAGTCGTAACAGCGAGGCGGCTTTCGGTGTGGCAGTCTCCGAGCCCTTTGTCGTTCGCTGCCCTGAAGGACTAGCTGCTAGCTCTTACCGAAATTCTTCGAAAGGAGTGAAAGAGTCCGCGCTTCGCTTTGCTTCGTCTCACTGCGTTTGTTTTTTTTTTTCAGTTTGGAGGCCGCGCCGCGTCACTGTGCGAAGCTGGGCATGGCCTATGTCGCCAAAGTGGAGGAGGCGCTTTGGCTTTCAGGTCAAGAGCTTTGTGACTAGGCCCTGGTATCTTCGGCAAGATACAGCCCATCTAACGGGGGCAGCCTATGGTTGTTTGGCGACTCTTACGTTTTTGGAGGCGCAGAAAAAGAGCTGCGTGAGTTGAGGAGCTCTCCCTGCCTGGAGCACAGCGCATGACGCAGACGAGAACCAAGCTTCTCAGGCACGTCCAAGCCGTGCAGCGCAAGACAACTCCAACGTCGTTTACTCTGGCACTTAATTTGCGAGTCCGAAATCTCGGTGTTGAAAGGCAGATGGCATGTGCCTGCATTATATAGGCAACTAGTCAGGTGGACAGGTAGAATTTCGCAAGGCATTGTATGCGATCCGGGGGCAGGTTCTTGGAGGAAGCTGCCGGGGTCGACGCAGAGCTGCTACCCAAGCTCGCAGCTTTGCAATTGCACGAGGACGCCAGATGCAGCCTGTGTTCGCATTTCCGTACTATGGATCCCGTGCTCGACGGTGCGAGTGTGCTCCAGTTTGACGGTGACCACGAACGCATACCAGGGATGCGAACGCAAGAGACTGCAGCCGGAGGTGTGCACTGTGCTTTGTTCTCACTGTGCCGTCAGGCATGTCGAGCTTACAAGTAGGAGGCTAGCGACACCTACTGAACAAGTACGAGCGCCGTCACATGTCAGACCTGGGTTTAACGGGTTTGACGAAGCCCCACTCTGGGTCTGACCTCAGTGAAAGAGTATGCACTGGCCAACCCAGATCAGAGTCCCGAGAACCACTCCGGCCCCTGAGGCTCCCCACCCCGAAACACACGAGACAGTGGCGGGAATTCGCACTGCTCTGGGATGCGCAGACTCGAGCCGAGCGGATGAGAGCGGATGCAATGTTTTCCATGGCACGAGTGAAGGTAGCGACACGTTTCGTGCACTGGGCACGACACTGGAAACGCAGTCGCATCCAAAATCTTCGCAGTGCTATGGCGGGCGCACGATTTCGGCAAAACACGAGTGCAATTTGGGCTCTGCCGAAGTTTGAACAACTGGATCCGAGACCCAAGTAGCCCCATTCATGAATCCAAAGTGGTACAACCTTCAAATGACTTCAGCGTTTTTGGAGGATGCGGCTGCAGCGGGACAGTGAAAAGAACCCGATTTTGCACCGCGTCACAGCGGGAGCGGCGGAACCACCGCGTGCGCCTGTCGGGCATGCCACGCGCTCATTCTCAATACCTCTTGACTCGTTACGTAAGAGAGCTTTCATGTAGACCACGCTGTTTGGGCAGCATGTTTCCGGTGCGTGGTAGGGCTGGAGATGCCGGATTGTGAAGGAGCGAGTAATCCTGTGTGGACGCGAGGGTCGGCATCGAGAAGCTTTGTGCGACCCTCAGCTCAGAAGTTTGGAGCATTTTGGAGCAATGAACAGGCGCCAGAACGCTGGTACTTGGCGCCAAAGCTCACACATTCTGGTCCCAGGCACATCCTCGTCCTTGACTTGAATGATCTCTCTCGAGCAGAAGCTTATTGCCGACTGGTAATGGCAAGGTGCAAGCCTAGCGACAAGTTTATTCTGTGCCGCGCAGCGAATCATTGGCAAACTTGAAGCTGTTGCGGCGTCGCGGTCTGTGCTATCTGTGCTTGTCAGGGAGCTGCAGCGGCCGGGAGCGACGGACAGCCATTCAAACACGCTTGCTGTTGTCTGTGGCAACAGTTGGACAGTCCCAATCAAAAGCCATAGTAAGAGGATGTGTCGGTGTTCAGTGCCGATCTGCCGGGTTGGGCCCGCGGGGTGGTGTTTGGGCGTTGCTGGCGAGTTTGACAGTTCAAGCGCCTTGATGCCGTCTCGTCCTGACAACTGCCAGGCCAAAGAAGCCCAACTCAGGTGACAAAGCCCTTGATGGTTTCCAGGACGACAGTCGAGTAAGAGTATCCGCTTTCGTCCGGGCAATTTGGCAAAAGCTGCGGTCAGGACGCGACATCTGCAGCAGTTGCCTCAAAGTTGCCGCGTTTGGCGAAAACGTTTATCACGTATTCCAAGCCAGGCGAGAGACCATGCCGAAAGAGCACGTCCGTTGATGCTCCTTCTGCAGATCTTGTCAGCGACCTCGGATTCGGAATTTCCATGCATTCCCCGGCGGTTGCCTGGATTTTCTGCTTCTACATGCTTTCGGGGCCCCTGCCGTGGCCGGAATGCTCAGTTCAGGATGTCTCGATGGATGGTCTGTCTGTCTGTCTGTCTGTCTGTCTGTCTGTCTGTCTGTCTGTCTATCTGCGTGCGTGAAAGTTCGTGCCGTGAAGGTGAACGGGGCTGGCTGTGACGAGCTTGCGATACTGAACGGCGGTCGGTGACACACTAGTGTGACAACGAACGGGGCAGGCTGTAGCGACGGGATGATGATGATGATGGTGATGATGATGATTTTGGTGGTAATAATAATGATGATGATGACGGCGACGAAGATTGACCAAGAATACCAGCAGTCACCAAATAGAGGCATCGCCGGCATCGCCTCGTCGACATTCCGTCTCCAGCATCGGAAGCGGATACTTTTGTTCTCCTATGTTGCCACAAACCGCATTCGCCTCAGAATCTGAATGCTAAACGGCAACCTGTCGACGGCCTCTGCACAACGACCGCTAAATAGTCCCACAACTATGCTACTCATTCGGTGGAGGTGTTCTTGGGAGCTCATGGAGATGTGTCTGATCTTTTCTCGTATGCTATTTCAGAAGAAACTTATTTGTTTTCAAACTTCCTTCGCAATTTGCGCCTAACTGTGTAAGCTTGAGCGGGTGGTTTCAACTTTACAACTCGAATCGAAGTCACCGCGTTGCTTGGGGGCTGCAAAGTTGCGGAGTGTTGTGATGGCACGCATAGCGGCAACAGAGCTTTAACGCAGCAAATGGAAACAGTCAAAGGCTTGTCTCGTCTCGGGAGCATCTGGGAGCCATCAAGTGTCAAGAATCCGTCCAGGACAGCAGGGAGTAACAAAGAATCCACTTACTCATCGGCAATGTTACCCATGTCTCCCCCATGTCCCAGCTAGAACTGATGATGGTACTGGCGCTGCAAGTTCTCGGTCACATCGTCTGACAGAGTCAGCGAGAGCCGCGCAAAGGTTGGAGGCCCACGAGGGAGCAGCCGCAAAGCCAGAAGAACACAAGAAGGAGGGCCCTTAGTCTGAGTCTATGGCTTACCTGGGGATGCAGATAAAGACTGCAGGTGGCAGCGGAGTACCGTGATGCCGTGCTTTCCCTGCTGATGGGATATGCTGCCCACCGCGACCTGCCACCCAACGAGGACGAGCATATGCAGTCCACAGCAGAAGCTGTGCACGCAACAGAATCTTCGTGGGTCGTAGCAGGTGTTGGGATGCTTGCCTGCGAATTGGTCCCTTGAGGCGTTACCAGCTTCTCCGGTGTTCCCGACTGCTCTGTCTATGCGCCATGGTTGCATGTCATGCTTTCCTGGCAGGGCATCTCGGACTACCTCAGCAAATGCGCTCGACTCTGCTTGCACAGGCAGCGTGCTAGCCACCGGCTAAGAATGCACTTGGCACGCAGATTGAAGACATCTACAGTCTGTGTGGTGCGGTGGAACAGTACATGCTCGGACATTGAGGCATGCTGGAAGAGAACTTGAGTTCTATGGCCTACCTGAAGACTTTCAGCGCTTGGGCCAAGGAACGCATGAGAAAGGCCAGGGACTTTGGACGTACTCGTCAAGCCGAGCTTTGTGCTTGACCTGACCAGGTAAACATTACGCTCGACAAATGCTGTCCGGTTTGCAACAAGCGCTTTGTTGACAAGGACCTCTCACACATTGGTGTGGCTTACTGGTTCAAGGTATTTTGGCGGTGGTGGAGCTTATTGCAGGACTCTGTCGGGAAAGCCTTCGTTGCCTACCCGAACGAGACCTGCGTGCACTTTGCGTGTAAGGACGGGCACTGATCTTGACATATCTTGACAAATCACATTCAGAAATCAACAGCTTCTGCACTTAGATGTTGAAGATGCTCCTTCGATCTTGCTCGATGCGTTGCCAATGGAAATGTTGTTGTGCTTATCTTTCCTGCGTTAGCTCGGGTGAGCAGTTGCAGTGCTTCTTTTTTCATGCTGGGCCTGTTTTGCCTGTGACTCCCGTATTTCACAATTTAGATTCGAAGGCATCCGTCCAGAATCCCCACGCTGCTCCCGCCACTCCCAAATGGAAGTAATGCAAAGAGACGACATGTGCTCCACTCGCCTCAGGCGACACCCTTAGCAACCTCGTGAAATTGATTGGAGTGAGGGTCAGTGAGGGTCATCTATGGGCAAGCATCTCGCTTCATCTCGCTTCCGCTTGCTCGTCTCGCTTGGCTCTGGCTGCAGAACAGACCTCAATCAAAGGTCCTTGGCTCCTGATGCTGGCATCAGTTGCGAAGTTGCCGCTCCCAGTGCTCCCTGCAGCATCCGTTTTGGTGGTCCGGAATTGGTTATGGTGATCCGATCTGACCTGAAGCCTGGATCGCAAAAAAGGGTCAAGGTGAAGTTTTTTCATGCCCGAGCTGAAGTGCCGGTGCGAATCCAGTTCTTTTTCTGATCAATAATAAGTGCCAGTCTTTCTCGCCGTAGCAAGGATCCGGGAGTTTGGAGTTTTGGCAAGCAACAGTGCAAGATCCGAGGACAGGTCTGGGGTGCAGGATAGGGCTGGGGATGGGCAGAAGATCACCGACGGGTGGACGGTGGCGGCTTTGCGGCGTGGTCGGAAGAGAGCGTGAACAGCACGTGTTTGAGAAGCCACCGGTGCCCGAAAGTGATCTTGCCACACTCGGGAACAGGAGCAGCACAGTGCTGACTGCATCGTACACACTTGCGGCAGTTGTCAGCCCCTGTTACCCAACATGGGAATGACAATCGTATATCTGCTGCCCCGACCAGAGTTGTGTTCCATGATCTCAGGTCAGCAAGCTCCTAGTACAAAAAAGTTCTTGTGCAGCCTTCTGGTTTCGAGAACATGTCCCGGGTACGCTTGTGAATGCTTCCTCCCCGAGGGAGAGAGTCTACTCACTCGCTAGAGGGCGAGCAGAGTCATGCACGACACTTTCACTATCTTGCACTGTTTGAAATCCGCACGACTATCAGGAGCATCCGTCGATTTGTCCAAAGACAGGGAAGAACTTTTCAGACAACCTGTCAGTGTATTGTGCTGGTCTCAGATTCTCAGACTCCTCTCACACAGACGGCAGAGTCATAAGGTCATGCCCTCAGCGTAGGACAGGATGAGCAAAGTTGACGTGGGACTACGGAGCGTGGCTCACGACTCATCGCAGCTGAAGACATCGGACCAAAATCACATCCATGATTTGTGCTTCAACTTCTGTTGGCCGCATGGACGACCTAGCCGCAAGCCGTTTTCGCTGAAGCTGCATGCCGTTGCCTGTTCAAGACAGGGTTTCTCTGATACCCGCACAAACTAGGCCGCTTGGCACATTGGTCTTTGACCTCACTCACCTTAGTGTTTCTGCGACTAAGCTCCGTCAAGATCGCAGAGGCAGCTTTAAAGCCCAACGAAGTGGAGAGCAGCGCTTGGCAGTACAGCCGAACACAACACGAGCAGTTTCTGATCAAGCAGAACGACTTCTCGCGGCAACAACTGGCGGCAAGACGCGGTGACCAGATGTTGGCCACGAGGTATGGCCGTCTTTCATCGCGCAAGTGCTAGGCTTCGCGTTTCTGCAAAGGAAGGACGAGCTTCCAGGAGCAAGAGGAAGGCTTTATGGAGTTCGAGGTATCGTCGTCAAAGCAAGGCCGGCAGTTCATGCTCGCAAGTCCCGTCTGAAGAACCAGCTTTGCTTGTGATCAGAGGCGGATCTATAGCTGCTCACTTCAAGGTGATCGACATGCCCCAGGCGTCCTTGCGGGTGTGTGGAGTCTGCTGCGAGGCATCATGCATCATGGTGCCAGTCGAGCTGTAGACAGCAAGAGACATCGTTTCATGCGCATTTCAGTGTTGGGCTACAGAACTGTCATGCGCCCAAGCCGAAGTCATTGGCTCACAGTCCGATCTGGGCGTGCGCTTGCGCCACAGAGATTTGCTGCTTGGCTGCCTTCTGCTGCATGCAACCTTTCTCTGCTTCAATCAGAAGCCGCCGTCTGCACGAGAATCTGCAAGGACGGTTCTGTGGCTTTGTGAAGCACAGTTTTTCAGGCTTAAAGCACAGACGCAGGAGCACCAAGCACTGCAGGCAGCAACCCAGCACATGCAAGGAGTGACTTGAACCGAAGACTTCACGACAACTTACTCTCGTGTCTGCTGTCAGTACGTCGTTCCCAGGAAATGGCGCCGAGAAAAGGGAGTCTGGAAGCAGCCTTCGCGCGGAAGGCGCGAGGTTTACTTGCTCTTGATGTTTGGGATCTTGTTGCTGTCGGCGTTGCCCCTGAGTGTAGGTTAGTTCCACACTTGTAATGCTGGGACAAAGACTGTTGCCAGGAGAAAGTTGAGTCATTGACAACACCACCCAGGCAAGAGCTTGAATTTGCTTCTTGGTAACTACCTTCCGGGAGATGGTTTAGTTCGATCGCACCGCATGGAATGCTCCAGTTCATGCCATGCTGCATTCCCTGCCAGCAAGCAAAGTCAAGCCCCTGCTGAAGAAGCTGCGCACCCATCCGCTTGAAACATGTCAAGGCCAAGAAGGTGCTGAGTTCCTGCTGTGCCCAGTGCCTGAGGCAGATGGCACTCCGGAAGCCCCCGCCAAGCAGAGCCCTGAACACCGCTTCGCATTCCTTGCATTCCCCGCTCTGTTGTTACAGTTGCAGTTACTGCAGTTACGCAGTAGATTGCCTCTGAGGCGGAGGCGGCTCGAAAAAGGAGTGCCTCAGACGACTCCCACCAAGTCAGAAGCCCAGACTTTCCAGAGCTCCAGGAGTTACCGTTTTCTGCCATAGGTTGAAGGAGACGGACAAAGTGCTTGAGCCGAGCCCCAAACGGACAACTTATTCCGTCAGCTCGCAGTGCTTCGATGCGTCGAGGAAGTTTCCAGAGGTGACAGCATCTCACCAGGGTGTGCTCGCCTCAACCCTTGCAGAGTGTCCTGGCCCCTCAAGACTCTTCCAGCCGACATCTCGTGTCGCTATCAAAGCCAGGAAACCGGTCCATGGTCGCTTTGGCACGGTAGCGGGGGTGCTGGAAAGAAGGCGAAGGATGTGGCTGCGGTGTTTGAAGCTGATCAAGACTTCAAAAGCTCTTGGTTTGAGGAGTTGCAATCTCCAGCTTTTGATCCGAAGCTTCGCGAAGAAGAGCTGCTCCGGCATGTGATGAATTAGTCGTGCGGGCATGTTGAGGCTGGAGCAAGGTCGAGTCTGTCGCGCAAAGGTCCCGGCGGGGGCACACATCTGTCGGGGAGGGGCTGGTGCGCGGCACCGGAGAGAGCTGGGCACATGTCCGGGACACCATGCATCGGAGCAAGCACAGCATGTGCGACCTCCGAGGAAACTACTCCAAGCCCGTCATGCTAGTGCTTTGTGGGAAAATGTTTCGCAGAATTTCCACTGTCAGGATTGATGCGAGGTCACATGTTCAGGTCTGCTGCTACTTCGGAAAGACATACGTAAATGTTTACATAAGGAATCAAGTGAGTAAAGCAAGCCTGCCTGCGTAATTAGCGAACTACGCAAGATTATGCAAGCAGACAAGTATTGTTAGCTGGTTACAGTTACTGGCAGCTACCAGTAGTTAGCCAGTAAGTTAGGTAGCTAGCTAGGCAAGCTAGTGAGTTAGTGAGTCAATGAGTGAGTTACTGAGTGAGGTAGTGAGCGAGGGAGCGAGTGAGTGAGTGATGCAGTCTGTCAAGTAGTTGGTTGTTTTTTTGGTTAGTCAGTTTGTAAGTAGTTACAGCAAGTAACCAGTAACTAAGCAATGAGGTAAGCTAGTTAGCTAGCTAGCTAGCTAGCTAGCTAGACAGCTACTTGGTAGGTAGGTCGGTCGGTCGGTGGGTGGGTGGGTGGGTGGGTGGGTAGGTTGGTTGGTTGGTTGGTTGGTATGCTTGACAAAACGAGCAAGCAAGTAAGTAAGCATGTAATCAAACAACCAAGCAGGTAAATGAGGAAAGCAAGCACACAATCACAAGCAAGTAAGTAAGTACCGCACACAAGAGCAAGTGAGGCAATATGCTAGCAACCAAGCAGGTAAGTAGGCAAAGAAAGCGAGCGAGCGAGCGCGCGAGCAAGCAAGCGAGCACAGCGAGCAAAGCACGCCAGCACGCACGCTCGCTCGCAGGCGAGTCGCGAGCGAGCAAATTAGTGAAGAAGCACGAAAGCAAGCAAGTAAGGAAGCGAGTAAGTAAGGAAGTAACGAGGCAAGCGCGTAAGCACGACGTAAATAAGCCAATAATCATGAAACACCTAATTCAGTCGAAATTCAGTAGGTCAGTCAGTCCGTCCGTGGGTGGGTGAGAGGGTGTGTCGGCGTGTGGGCGGGCTGGCGGGCAGGGGTGAGGGTAGTTGGATGGGTGGGTTGGGTGGGCACGGTGAGTGGGTGGGTGGGCGGAGAAGGAAGAGAGGGAGGAAGGAATTCGTATGTACATCGTGCTTGTATGCACATGTATGCTTGTGCAATTGTCCGTATCAGTTGCTGCTGCTATCGCTCTTTGTAGTAGTTTCGGGAAATCTCATTGTCATCAAGTAGCATCATGATTGCTAGCTAGCACGATGCGTTGTTCGAATTGCTTTTCTTGCTGTTGCCATTGCTCTCACTAGTCTGGTACATTCCCCTTTCTGTCAAGTTCTATCATGTTTCACGACTATGTGTTCCTGTCATTGCTCTTGGTTTGTTGTTTCTCTCCAGTATTACAGCGGCTATTGCTGGAGTTGCTGGAAATGCGATATTTCTCATTCTAGTTGAGCACCTCTCTCAGGCCATCTTACAAACTCTTTCGAAGACGTGTGTTCTGCCGCATCCCTGCAGCGCCTCATGGCTGACGCATGCAGGGTTCTTGACAGGGCCCCCCTCGTGTGTTTGGCTTGGTCGCCCATTGTCCCAATAGTCCCAACACGTGTTTTTGACATGGGTCGACAGGTTTAAAAGGGCGCGGCTTGGGTTATGGCAGGTTCCCCGTTGGAAAGCCGGTCAGCTTCTCCCTGCTTTCTGGAGCTTTGCTGGAGATAGAGGACATCTGCTTCATGACATGCAAGTGAGCAAGTTGTGCTGTTTATCGAGGAGTTAAAGGGAAGCGGGAAGGGTTCGCGCAAGACGATGACGGTGGTGAGCTTGAGGTGAAGAAGGTTTGCCAAGTCCATCTAGTGCTCTGATCTCAGGTCATCCTGAGCAACTTGTTTCGGCTTCTGATGCACGTGCAGCCACAGGAGGGTGATGGCCACTCGGGTCACGGCTTCTGGTATTACTGTGTGCAGCAGGGCAGCCATGAAAAGCTTTGCACCAACTTAGTCATGAGCACAGTCGCTGGGAATTTGGAGGATATCATTGCCACAGTTTACATCCTCATCAATAAGGCGTGCACGCTGCCCAAGCCTCCACGGTGTCAACTGTCTCCGTGCATTAACGATTGCAGAAGCTGGATCAGGTTGCACCGGATTACGAGGCAGCTGAACTGGGCGTTGGTGACTCCATAATCATCAAAGCGCTTTGTGAAAACTTTGGTCGGCTAGGGCCTCAGGCACTGTGCTAAGGCGTGTCGAAGAGATCACGATGTCTCCATGACCTTGCTTGGGAAGCGGCCTCATGATCTGAATTTGGTATGAATGCTCTGAAAGAGCATGGCAGGGTTTCGGGATGTTTGGGGTAGAAAGTCTTGTTTGTAGCACTTCATGCGTCACGCCACGCCTGTGCCCGCAGGTAGCCTTGTGCCGATACTTTCTGTAGCCCGTCGATTTCGTGGTGCAGAGCTTCGCATCCCACCCCTGCTAATTTGCCATAAGGTCGGAGGCCACCATTAAGCATGCCTTGGCATCTGGGGAGGCGAAGGCACAGAGAGAGCACATGTTGTTTTCTCATGCCTCGATTTGCGCCCCGCTTTTTGCCTCTCAGGATCTCGGGGAGGTGGCGCTGCAGAGCCGCATGCCCGGATCCCAGCAGCACCGTTCTTGCAAGAGTTATGGACACCTGCGTGGCAGGGCCTGTCAAAGCCGCTGTGGTTCAAAGATAGTCGGACCTGCGCTGTCACAGTGCATGACACCTCCATACCGTTCTTCATGAGCCAGGTTGTGGGCTTTAGGCAGCTTTGTTGGCAGGGGCTGTGTGGCCAGTGCCGAAAGTGCAGCGTCACGGCAGCTTTAACGAACGTGGCATCTGCAGTAACCTGTCAGTCTCGAGCGATTGAAGCCACGAAGCTAGCATGGCCCCTTACGATACCCTCTTTGCGCACGAAGACCAGCAACGGATCCTGCAGCACAGCGGGTCCAATCTACGAAGATGGGTGTACAAGTTGCGTTCCAGTGGTGTCCAAGGTGGCTTGATTTGGCTATTGTTGCTGCTGTTTGGTTTCCGGCAACCGAGGGAGGCAGTCCAGCGTGCAATCACAGATGCTGTAACGAAAGGTTCAAGCATGATCCGAAATGCGTCAGCTGGAACTCTTGACAGACTGCGGCAGCTTAAATCCAGAAAAGGGCAGCAGGGAGACAGGGGAGACTTTGAGATGGCCTTGGAAGAGACGATGACTGCGCTGGAACCGGCTCGGCACTTGGCGCAGGCTGAGACTGAGAAAGCACCTTCCCAGCCTTCCCAGCCTTCCCAGCCCTGCTTGCATCCGGACGAAAACCGTCGAGATCGCATCTTCCAATTCATTAACAAGAACATGGACATGCTGTTGGTCGGGTTCCTGGGTTACAAGCTCGGCCTTTTAGTTCTGTACACGATGCCCATGTCATACGGCTTTGGCATCAAAGCATTGTTCCTGAAGTGGGCATCTCGTGCCAACCTATTCCGGCTGTACTTGCGCCTTTCACCGCTGGTTTGCCTTGGTTTGGTGGGTATGGCAAGTGCTGCAGTCCAGCATTTTAATAGGACCGAGACGCTTGATGCTACGAAGATTCTCCGGTGGCGAGTGCTTGCCATCTTAAATGGAATCTTGACTTATTGCACGTCCCGTCTCTTTGAGCTCATTCGTGGCGATCCGAGACCTTTCATCGCACTGGAGGAATCTGCCCAGGATCGGGATTTGTTAGCCTTCGAAGCTCCGGCCAAGGGAAGTGCACTGCAAAGGATGCTCAGGGCGCTATTCTGGCCCCAGCGCAAGATGAGTCCCCCCCAACTCTTTGGTTTGGAAGAGCTAGGGTCAGACAGAAAGCGCCTGCTCTTCGTCGGAAACCATGCTATCTTGGGCATCGATGCCTCGCAGCTGCATGCTGATGTGATCCATGGTTTGTTCGAGTCCAGAAAGATGTCTTCCTTCTGTATACCGGGAGTGTGCCTGTGCACTCGTACAAGGTGCCGCTCCTGATCTACTGCCTCTACACTGAGCCCCTCGGCCTACCAAGACAGGCACATGTTCTTCTCTGCCAGACTGACGCATTGCAAGCATGAGGGCCGACATTTGGCCTCGACCTCTCGGGGAACACGCGTGGTTTTCAGTTCCGATCATTGGGGAGCTCATGTATTCCATTGGCGCAGTCGACGGCACGCGTCGGAACTGCTGCTGGTCTCAAATGAGCCCAGTGCTATTCGGTATTGGTAGTTCTGGAATCTCACCGCCCCGCCCAGTCCAATGAAATGCATCAGCTGATTGTGCCTCTGCCCATTTGCTCGGCTGTCTCATGTGTTGTGGTTGTTTGAGGGTGAGCTCGCTGTATCTGTCCCGAGCACACGCTTGTTCAACCAGTGAGGCCAGCTTGTGCCCAAAATATTGAGATTGCCTGAACCTTGAGCCCTATAACAGCTTCTTTCGGCAACTCCTCCTGGTTCGAGTGTACAGCACATTGGTCACACAGTAGGTTAAGTCGCCTGACCCGATTCCTGCTGCGAGGTGATCTGTTGATGGATCAAGGCTGCTGCCTGCTGGTCTATCCAGGTGGCGCTCGCGAAGCGTGGAAGAGAACAACAGACAAGCCGTACGACATTCTGTGGGGTTACTTGCTTGCACCTGCTTCTAATCTTGCGATGTCTCGCTAGCTCATGCGCAGAAAGAAGTGACACAACATGAATGTCCAGCGTGATGGTCCAGTTGGCACAGCATTTGCTACTGTGCTTGAATCTCCAAGGTGAAAGCACTCTTGGGTTTGTCCGCATGGCAGTTAGACATGGCTACACCATCGTTCCTATCGCCACTGTTGGTACAGAGGACATCGTTAAACCCGTATATGACGTTCCACTTCGGGACGTCCTGACCGCCGGAGGGCTCCTTGGCTAAAACCGAACCGGCGGACCCATCTGCTGTACAAGACCAGTCAGATCAACAGCAGTTCGGTACATGTTGGTCGGGTTGTCGAGTCTGGACAGGGCTCTGCAAGATTTGACCCAGAGCTTTAACAAGCCTCTAGTTCCGTAGGTTGGATCGGACGATCCTTACCTGTTCGAGGCTCAGGGCAAGGAAGGATACGTTCTTCTTTTGGGCGTGCTCTGGAACTCGCCCCTTCGAGACATGGACGTAGGACGTTTGCCTCCTTGCCGACGACATTGCTTTTTTTGATTCTGTTGACGGGCCATACCGACATGGTCATGTCGAGCGCCGGCACAATTAAGCCCTCACAATTCAAGCCGCTGAGGCGTCCCTGCGGACAAGACACGCTCTCCCTGCTTCGGTGTCCCGCGCACGTGAGTTCTGTTTGACACGCAAGTCCGCCGCGCCAAGGATGCTGAAGCCTCCGGAGAGCAGCTCAAAAGCATTCGAAGAGGGAGCACGGTTTCCTGTCGTGATGCCAAAGCCGGGGCACGTGACTCGGCTGACTGCATGACGACATTGGCAATGCGATATGAATATTTGGAGGTTATAACAATTTTTGTATATATCCCATCCAGACTTGGTCGTGCACCTTCCTTTCCGTCTGGCTAGGCTTACCTGTCTGTGTCTGAACATCTTCGTCTCTCTTTGTTTCTGTGCACACACATGCTTGGGTTTGACCTAGTTGCTTCTGTTGTTCGTCTGCGCTACGCCGCCCGCCTCGGCTGCTATGGGAGAGACGAGCGGTTTGACTTCACCGAGGAACTGGATGCTGCGGCAGTAATCGAAGTCAGTAGAGCTTGGAAGCTGCAGATCTTGCAGGAAGGGTCTAAAACTGAGTGTCTTGCCACGATCATCCAGGCAAGCTGTGTTTATGGTTTGTTGCATTCCTAAGTTATCCGTTTGAGTCCGAATGGAGCGAAGCGGGGGGGGGCGGGGTGGGGGGGGTGGGG